GGGGAGGCTCGTGGCGCCGCCGAGCGGATCCCCGCGCCTCAGCGCGCAAGCCGCGAAACGCCGTGACTTGGCTGCTGGACGGGCCTCTTGTTTCCTCCGAATGAGCTGCCGTGTTCCCTGTTTTCCCCGAGAATCTATTTTATTAATTGCCCTTGGCTTTGCCTCACAGCTGTGCCATTCCTTCATGTAGTTAATTCCAAGGCCCTACGAGCCTCTGCCTCCATGATGCAGAGGTTTGGTGTTCCCTTCCTGCATTAGTTATAATGCTCAGCAGTTTCTCTGGTTTAGGTGTTGCCTCACACGCTGAACTGAGCCCTAGGCCAGTAGCAGCATCACCAGGAGCTCTGTCATTCAGCCCGTGGGTTTGATGTGCTCTATGGATATCTCAGAGAGCAGATTTGTTAAACCATCAAGGCTGGAAACGTCCAGTATTGTTAAAAACCATTTATGCCCCCTCTTTGGGGAGTAACTGTCCTGAGCCTCAAGGGCTGTTCCATGTATGTGAATTAAGATAACAACTCCTCCTTCCAGCATATTATCCTGGGGTGGCCACCTCCCTGATGTGGCACCAGGGAAGCAAATTGTCACCGGCAAAAGTCCTGCTGGCCTGTGATAAAGAAAGTGCCTGCTCACCTTAGCCATGGTGACAAAGCCAGAGGTGCCACCGGCGTGTGCCCCGGGCTCTTCATTCCCATGGTTGTGTTAAATTACAAAAGAAGCAGATGTGCCTGCGTGAGCTCCTCACCGAAGCGGAGCTCCTGTCCCTTCATCACCTTCCCTGTCTCGTTCTTGTGCCCTCTCCCTCACTGCCCCCTCTGCTCTCTGTCCCTGCCAGGTCTGGTGCTGCTGCAGAAATGGGAGAGTACGGGATCGAACCTGGGCAGCGCGTGGCCGTTGTCTGGGACACGTCTGCACCGGTGGAGGCGCTGAAGGATTTGGTGGATAGGATTCAAGCAGTAGTGGGAGCTGAAACCCGTGTGTCCGTGGAAAACATTAACCAGCTGTGTCAATGTAAGAATGAGTTTGTTTGTTTGTTTTACTGCTCAGTGGAGAGGGCACTTTCCTGCTAGGAGCTGCCCTGGTTTCTTGATAGACTTTCAGAATAACGATAGCAGAATCTGACTATTCTCAAATGTAAGCAGAAGCTGGCAATACCACAAGGTGATTCACTCTACTCACGCTTATCATAGTGTCTTTACTCAACTACTGCTGCTGCACACAAGCATGAGAGAAGTGGAAAGCAGGTGAAACTGATATATTGAGCAAAGGTGTGTGTGTGTACGTATAGAATTGTATCACCTTCCACCTTCATCTCTCTTTCCAGCGGCTCATGGGGAGTCCAGTTTCGATGTGATTCTCTCCGGGATGGTGCCAGGTAGTGTGGCCCAGCACAGTGCCGATGTTCTGGCAGAAATAGCTCGGATACTTAAACCAGGGGGCCGTGTCCTCCTGAAGGAACCCGTGGTGACAGAATCAGGTGAGAGAATCTGTACCAGTTCTGCTTTCCAGCTCGACAGAGAAATTCCTGTGAGGACCAGGCCAAAATGAAAGGAGCAGGAACACTGGCTGGTGTTCAAAGTAAAGACTTCCATTCCTCTCATGCACTAGGCTGAATAGCAAGGGTTTTATCTTGTGTTTAAGTTGGTACCAGTCCAAGATGTCTACGGGGATTCTCCTTCTATTGAAAGTGCAGAATAGACTTGATGTGAAGCCAGACCAAAAAGCTCAGTGGATACTGGTCTTCTGCTAGAGCTTGATGAGTTAAATGTTGCTACAGGTATCACATTTCTCACAGCCCTTTTGAATTGATTTTGAAAATGTGGCAAATTAGCAACAAGTATGGAGGAGAAATGGTCCCAGGAGTCATTTGGGACTGTTACCCAGAAAAGGTAAAAATGCTTTTGGACTAAAGCTTAAGAGGGAAGCTGGAGCACCTGCAGGAGGAATGCACTGCACATTGGGGCTGGTACAGGATTATTTCTCTGTCTTTGATGTGACCTCCAAGTCTTCTTGGCGCCTGAACCTTGTTGGTTGAGGCTGGAAGGAGGAAATAACCCCCCACCTCCTAACAGCAGAAACAGCCATGTACTGGTGGTGGTTGTTGTTGTTGTTGGCCTAATCTACAGTATTGAAAATATTGAAAATGGTGATTTAACTGGCAGCAGAAAACCCCTCCTTGAGGCAGAGGATTTGCCCGTGTATTGAAACTGGTAGCAGCTCTGCAGTGCTGCCAGGACCTTAGAGGGGGAGCATTTCTGAGACACAAGACAGAACATGCAAAGTCAGGAGCAGGGCGGGATTCCTGTTTCCAAAGTTGTATCTGGCAGGCAGGAATTTGGAATAAAGTGCAGGTGGGACTAGCGTGAGGTGGGTCTTTTTTCTCTCCTTTTTTTTTTTTTCTTTTTTTTTTTCTTCTTTTTCGGGGCTATTTTGTGCCCGAGGGGAGAGGCCTATTAGGAGTTTATGGTAAAAAAGCAACTAGTAACTCTTGATGGCTAGAATGAGCTCTTGAATATTATGTTTCTGAATATAATGTTTGTTTAGGTGTCTGTGCTTTGAAAACTTAATGAGTTATTCACTTTAATATGTTAAAATGTTTAGGGGAGGGAGGGCAGGGTTTTTTTTTTTTTTTTCTCTCTCTAATGGGTCTTTAACGCATTTGGGAAAGTTTCAGCATCTCTAAAACACATGCGGAGCTAGAATTAGCTTTGCAACCTCAGGCAGTTGTTTTAATGTCTGCTTCTCTATGTCCTCGATTCTTATCTTCCCCTCCTCTTACCCCCTGCTTTTGTGTCTTCCAGAAAACAGCCAAATGAAGACAGCAGCCAAACTCCCCACAGCTCTGACTCTCTCTGGGTTGGTGGAAGTGAAGGAGGTAGGTGGGTACTACCAGGGTCACGAAACTCCCTCATGCTGTTATCCTGAGAAGCGGGGTAGGGATTCCTGAAAGACTCACTGTGTATTAGTTCTTTAGCTACCCAGGTTTGCTCTAAATACACGTGCATGCTGCCTGCCATGATAAAAAATTGCTGCAAAGATAAGTATTTTTCTTTAGGGTTGCAAATTTAAAGGAACCTTTTAAAGGAACCCGCACCCAGATAAAATGAGCAGCTCTTTCTGTTGCACTGCAGCTGGGACTGCCTCCACCTCTGCTCTGAGGAAGAGCAACCAGAGGCAAAGGGAGTTGTTTTCAAAGCGATTCTGGGCTGGCTGCTGGAGTGAGGTGGTTCTACATGACATTAACCCGAGATCTTGCATTGCAGCTGCAAAAGGAGCCCCTGACCCCAGAGGAGGCCCGGGCTGTCCAAGAGCATTTGGGCTATCAAGGCAATGACCTTCTCATTGTTCAGCTAGAGGGCAGGAAACCCAACTTTGAAGTGGGATCCTCGAGTCAGCTCAAACTTTCCTTTGCCAAGAAACCTTCAGGTAAGAAGCACTAAATGTCTGGATCACCTTCCTCACAAGGGACACTTGCCAGTTGAGACAGTGAGACAGCTCTGTTCCAGAGTTACTTGAATTCCATTTATTGGGAGCAGACGGGACAGTGGTTGGAGTAACTATTGTCTGTCTTTGTTTCGCCTCCAGGAAAGCCCTCTGTGGACCCAGCTACTGCAAAGCTGTGGACTCTCTCTGCCAACGATATGAATGATGACGAGATGGTATCTGTTTTTATTTGTGATTCTTTGCTGCTTTTTTCTTCTCGCTTCTGTTCTTATCTCCTCTAAAGCAGTTTCAGCCCTGCCATTCGGCAAACTTTACAGCTGGAGAGGTAGCTCAACACCCCTAGGGCAGAACTTGTCTGCTGCTATATGAGGTCTTGGGCACAGTGAGCATGGAGAGCAGAGGTAGATAAGAGGGCAGGGCTTTCAAATTAATGCTACTCGAGTAGTAGCATTTCTTTAAATGCAGCGATGTCTTTACCCACTGACAAATCCCTCTCTTGGGTGCGTTTCCAGGATCTGCTGGACTCGGATGAGCTGCTAGATTCGGAGGACTTGAAGAAGCCAGATCCATCATCCCTCAGAGCTGCTTCTTGCAAAGACATGGGCAAGAAGAAAGCCTGCAAGAACTGGTTAGTGTTGGGATTGGAAGAGTTGTGGAAACTTAATAATATTCTAAAAACATTCAATAAATTCAACTTAAAAAAAACCCAGATAAAACTATTTTGGTGAAGCGCTTCATGTTATAAGGTAGTCCAGATACAGAAAGATGATTTTAAAAACATCTTCTTCTTGCCGTTTGGCTGCCTGCCTTGAAACTGCTAGAAATTACTGCACTTACATCATGAGCAGTCATCTTGGGGGCAGAGGGTGGCTGCAGATTTTGTACAGCCTTCACTCAACTCCTGGTTCTCCCTCAGATTTTCAGAAGAAATAGCCCATGTAGCTTTAAAGAGATCCTTGGTTTCAGTCAGAGGAATGTGTGTCAGCCCTTGCGTTTTTACAAACCGTGTTGTCAGGGAACGGAGCATTCGTGGGATCCGCTGTGTCCTGCCACAGTGAGGGTCGTTCCCTGTTGTCCATGCACAGGGCAGGAGCACGTATTGGTGACGCATAACCTTGAAGCACAAAGATTCAGGGGATTTCTTTATTTTCTACAGCACGTGTGGCCTGGCCGAAGAGCTGGAACAGGAGAAGAGGAGCTCGCAACCCAAATCTGCCTGTGGCAACGTAAGCGAGCGCTTTGGTTTCTGTACTGTGCTGTGTACTGAACAGTCTGTGTCTAAGAACCATCATCTCCCTGGGATGGTTTCCTGCTCTCCAGCGCTGCCCGTGCGGATCCTGCGGCGCTGCTTGTCCCGATGGGCCTGCTGGTCCTGGCTCTTAAAGCTGCTGCTGCCCTGTGCCCGTGCACTCCCTGCGGGCGCGTGCTGTCCGTGAGAGCAGCCCGCTGCCCCATGGGGCACAGCAGGGCTTGGTGGTGCTTAGGGAGCCGCTGCCACGTGCGTGCAGGGCCCTTAACTGACCTCCGCCGCGTTGCTGTTGAGAGGAGGCAGGAGGGAGGGGGTTCTGGGCTGACGCGCGCCGAGGAGCGGGTCGTCCAGCCGGGTAGCCCAGGGCGCCGTGGCAGGGAGCTCAAAGCAGCCCTTGGCTTTGCTTAAACAGCAGGGGCTTTTCCTTCTCTTGCCAGTGCTACCTGGGAGATGCGTTCCGCTGTGCCAGCTGCCCTTACCTGGGCATGCCGGCATTCAAACCCGGAGAGAAGATTCTCCTCAAACAGAACCAGCTACACGATGCCTAACGGAGAGGTGTAACGCTTCTGGGTATCCTGCAAAGGCCGCCTCTGCTCTTCCATCAGTCCGAGATGCAGAGCTTCTTCCAGTCCTCTTCATCTTCTCAAATCCATGCTCTCTGGACAATATTCCTCGTGGGGAGGGACAGTGGGGGTGCTGACACTGCTGTGAACTCATCAGATTTAATCAAGCTTGGGGTATCTGATAGATGACAGATGGCCTTGAATGTATGAAACTTGTTAATGTTACACCTTGTTTTCGGTGGTTCGCTGCGTATGGAGACACTGTCCCTCACAACCTCTCCCTGTAGACGAGGGAGGTGGAATCGAGTGTCACGATGACCTCTGCGCGTGGCAGGAGCTTCCTTGGTGCTTCCCCTAGCCCGTGTCCTGCTCCGTGCCCTAATTATCCCTGGAGAATCAGCAGCTCTGCCTTAGCCTTCAAGGTGACACTGGCCTCCTGCGCTCTTGGAAATCGGAACCCACGCTCCCTTACCACGTGAAGACGGCTCCGCAGCTCCTGCCGTAAACCGGGAGTAGCCATGAATTCCCAAGTGTTTTAGAGCCTGCCAGTGATTTTCCTCCCCTTTCCCTATTTTCATCAAAATGCAAAAGATTAATTGGGATTGAGAAGCCTCCTGCCCTTACGGCAGGGAGTGGATCAGCAGGATCCCTGCGTTTTTCCCCAACACCTTTCTGTCCAGCATGAACTGGTAGCACAAGGGTAATCCAAGGCTGTGGTCTCTTCTGGTGGCTACCTACAGTGTCCCATAAAACAGAGTATAGCAATAACTTAATTTCTGGATGGCCTGTGGTCACTGCTGCTTCTCCATAAGATGCTGACAGCTCTTTATTTATCTGCGTAATTGCCGCTAGTGAAGCATCCGTGCAAGGGCGGGATGAGGGAGCTGCCCTTCTTCTGCACCAGCCTTTCCCTATCCAGGAACAGAAAGGCGGGAATCCCAAATCCAGCATCTCCACAGGGGGTTGCTCTGTTCCTGGCACTCTGTAACTTCTTGTCATGGTGCTGCCTGAGTTACACAACAGACTCGTGTGGGGTGTTGGGATGTGAGGCTCAGTTCTTACAATAAACGTGACCAAGAGCAAAGCGTCTGTCCTAAAGATGTCATTTGAAAGGTTGGTGCCCCTTTTACTCGGTCTCATTTAATCGCAGCTCATGTCTGTGTGCCATTTCTGGGGCTGTTAATGATTTGGGTCATGAGACAAACCTTGGAGTTCTACAAAAATAGGGATCTTTCATCATCGAGGAGACTGGTTAAACCCTCCTCTGGGAATATAAGGAAAGGGCAGAGCTGAGACTAGGGGAAGTTGCATCCTGCCAGCACTTGGGGCTCCCTGCAGACAGACCTGGAGCAAAGCCAGGACCCGCAGCAGGGCCCAGCTCGGGCAGGGGCTGCTCCTCATCCCCCTCACTGATATTTTGGAGGGGAAGAGGCTCATGCACATGGGGAAAAATGAGGGCTGCGCTGTCCAGGGGGTGCCCCACATCTGGCATTGGTGGTTCAGTGGTAGAATTCTCGCCTGCCACGCGGGAGGCCCGGGTTCGATTCCCGGCCAATGCAGCCCTCCTTTTCCCACCCCCTCACCTCTGCGGCGGCCCCAGCCCTGGCCCTACCTCCCCTGCACCCGCCACCGCCCCCTCGTTGCTGCCTCTCTGGCATAAGGGTCCTCTGCCCTGCACAGGGATGCGCCCGCCGAGCTGGGGCCCTTGTGCACGG